TTTAGTAAAGCTTCTGGTATGCAAATCGCGGGACGACTGCTGTGCAATAGGTTCATGGTTCCTAATAATAGACACTTACCGATCGTATCCAAATCTTCTGTCGCTGACGTCACTAGGATGGTCGGAAAACAAGCATAACAATTACGCATCGGCTTACTGTGGGGAGTTGCGCAATGTGAAACTGGACATTTAACTCCATATTGCAGATTAAAGCCGCCTACGTTCACTTACCAATAGATTATAGAGTGCAATTCTTAATCAGGTACAATTATTCGGTACCTCTGTACTGAGAGACCACTCAATATTCACAGGTCCGGTTGCTTTCGTGAAAACAGACATGGAGTAATAACATTCTGAACAATTCTAATACGGCGATAGTCCGGTCTCTTTTGGCAGGGAACAAAAATTATCGCTTACCCTTCTTTCGATGAGTATGTAGAATATCAGGAGGAAGCCCAGTAACCGAAATAGAAAAATTATCGTCTTATCATGTGAGAGATATTTACTTTAATCGCCAAGTAGCTTCAGACAGAGGAAGAAGCTACCCCGGATTTCTGGGGAGATTACCTGGGTTCTACAAAAAAACTACTAAAGAAAACATAGATACGTAAATTTCTTATTTTCTACTTCGGCCTTCACTAGCTCCCTCTGTGGCCTTTCGATCCAGCTTTTATTTAAGCGAAAAAGAAGTCAGCGGTCAATTTTGGTCTCAGACAGAGCCTAAGGTAGTGATCCTTCCTCGCAAGGTCAGCAGCAAGACGGATTGGGAAACTGTTTGGACAATACCGGTGGCGTAGGGCGAACAGTTTAGAGTGCTGACGAAGGAACGGCAATACAACTTTGGCCATAGGTTTCACCGCCCAGGCGAACACCCAGATAAGAGCTGCGATAACTGGTTTCGTTAAACACTTCCTGACGTAGAAGTCAAACACTGGACGAGTAAAATATTAATCGTCTACCCTGTCGGTGTTCGGCTGCCACGTAAATCAAAAGGGTTACTCAAGTCTAGACAGGAGCAGTCCAGGTGCCGGGGTTGGGTTCGAACAGTTAACTTTCTGGCTAATGAGGTCGAGCCGTAATCACTGCGCTACCCGCGGCTCATTGGACAAGTAGTAGTTGCACTCGCACGTGCGGTCGTTGGTTTATTCCACCTCTCTAAAACAGCGGACTCGTTTCATTTATGGGAAACAAAACAGTGACTTACAGCCATTTCAAGACTGGGTGATTTTGACACATCCGTAACTGGGCAAATGCAACAACCGAAATATCGGTTTTAGCATTAATCAAGCTCATATGTTAAGCCCTGGGTAACGACATTTTGACAATGATAAAACTACTTTGGCTTACATTTGGATACGCGAAATCCGCTTCGCATTAGTACTTGTTTCACCACTACTGGAGTCAAAACACTTGCTCGCCACCTCAAAAGTCGCCGAAAATCCCATGGCAGCGATTCGACTGAAATGGAATAAATGATTACAATGATGCCATCTACTATCAGGAAAGTAGCTGGTAAAATAAATTCTCGTGTGAGTTTTGGGCATCACACAATATTGTGCCTACGTTAAGCTCCATTTTCGTTCCTTCTCGACAAAGCCATTTGTCAATCTAAATATCCTAGTATGCCTTCAAATCAAGTGGCTTTTACGTTACAACAGATGTGTGACAGTATGGTGGCTACCAAGCCATCCACAAACTTCTCAAACCATAGTTACCGGAGTTTACTCCTCCACCGTGATAGTTACTTTCGAGTTGATGTTTAAATACCTCTTTGACCTTCCTCCAGACCAAGCAAGACTTGAATGCTAGCACAAAGGCCAATTCTAGAAAATCAACCCATGATAGGGATCAACCTGACCGTCAAGTGGATATAACTGGGCGTTGTGTATATTACTTCACCCACCAGGTATCATCACAACCGCTGCATCAGTTCACATTTTTTCCTTGTCAAAAGGATGGGCAGGACTGCAAATACACGAAAATAATGCGAAAATCACGTTCCAACAAGGTAAAAGTTACCCTTATTAAGAGTGGGTGGCTTAACCGTCAGCCATTCGAGGGGAATCTCCATTGTAGTATCATACTAAGAAACTGGAATTACACACCAGTAGGATGACTTGCAAGTCATCACGATATAACCCAGTTCACTTTATCCTAAAAGCCTCAAGCATACTTTGAAGGAGAAAAGACATCAGATATTATTCTGATCGAGACCACCCTTATTCATCCCACTTCTTCGTAATGGCATGAGAATGCTTTCATGGACGCGAATTCTCATCGGCGACCACTGCTCTAAGTGCATAAAACGGCCCTGGGTCTAAGTTTAAAACTTACTATCTTCTCAACTCTCACTAGCCCACTTTGAATGAGTTCGCAGCATACATGATAATGAACTTGTCAGTTGTGCTTTTTTAATGTGTAATTACTCTGAACAGGTTCTTAGTTGTTCATTTCGTGCACGGTGGAAGCAAAGAAACATCTTATTTCCCCAGACTTGTGATAATCATACACGTTTGCAGCGAAAAACTACGGCTCTGAGTAAGATTCACAGACAAACTTCTAACCTAAAATTAGTATACAGTGGTGTGAAAGGGGATCTTGCGACCAAAGTAGTGAATTATGCCTATATCAATTACGCCAATGTACCAGCTCCTGAACTGCCCAAAATCCTACACATGAGTATTGTATTGTGCACCATTGGCCGAAAAATTATCTCGTGAGATGCATTCATTTCGAATGCAAAGTTGAACGAAAACATGTGAAACCTGTAACAAAAATCAGCAACTGTGGCAACATACAGAACGGTTTCACACCGGGTGCTCCTTCCTGACTGCCAGCTCTGAACACCAATAAACCAGGGGTTCAAGAAACGAAGTAGGTTGTAAGTAATTAACAATATCGTCGCATCCAGAAAAGCTCAATGACACCAGCACCTTCGTTCTTTTTGGACTCTTCATGTGGGCGTAGAGGGATCAGACGAAAGTGCTGGTATGGTTGCAGCTTTTGGGATCTGATGATACTTTTATTGTAAGTGTTCGAATTCTCTGTTAAAATAATCATTAGGTCATTCGCGAGGATCAACCAAAGCCTACTGATCATCCATCAGTTGACAGTTGACTTTTCGCAGAAGCCAGGACAAGAATTACGTCTCAAACAGCACAAATATTTGATTCCCTTTTCCACGTGATCCTTTTCGAACATTCCTCATCCCGTCCTGGAGCAATTATTATCGTGAGTCCGCACCAAAGAAGGACAACACCACATTCGAGTTTCACTCTAATTAGAGCTCAGCAGCAGCGCAAATCTTCCGCCAAGTTGCGGTGCATGAACTGTGAATATCTTACATGCTACAACCATTTCACCCGCACCTTCTGGATGTACCCTAATTATCATGTAAGCATGTTCACAAGCAAGCGTTATGCTTTCCCCTCTTGACCTGCGTTTGCCGGGCAATTGCACGAGGACAAGAAGATAACTGTTCAATCAAGAATGATCTGAATATGGGTTCTGTAGATCACTTGACAACCTACAACAAATACATGACTCGTTAGCTTTGTATTACTGAACGGCTTATTCAAACGCAAGTATGGATGGATAGTAAATAAACCAGACACAGAATGCACTTGGAATATATTTTCGAAATGATTTACGCACATCAGCCATACACCCTCCCAATCATCAAACAACTTTCTGATTCGTTTAAATTGGTACTACTGATGGTTAGCGCGGAACTTGTTCGTAATCACCCAGATAGAGATAAAGCGAAGTAAAACTCGCCCCTAGCTCTTTATTTAAAGCGTTATTTGACTTTGTCTTCACGTGAATAACCTTATTAGTGAGACTTTATTGACGCAAAGCTTGAAAAATTTATTCATCTCCAACTGTTGCACATTGGTTGTAGGTCTTGGTGGGTACGTTGCAAAAGTTCGGGAAGTGGATGAACCTCCCATCCTTTTATCCTAGGGGTCCACATCTGTGCGAACATCGCTGTGTTTGTTAGATGAGACCACATTCATATTACGGGTTACCCGTACATAACTCAGATACCTACACACCAGGCATTGGTGGCGATGAACTATATGTGGTCACGTCACCGGTATTAATGTAATGGATAGCTTTTAAAATATGGAAGTGCCGTAATAGAAATTCCCGTATTTTTCACGTAAAACCCACTGGACAAAACTTTAATGCGTCCGTGAGCACCGACAGCCGAGTATACAAAAGTGGAACCTTTGATAAATACCACTATACGTTATTGCCATGTCAGCACTATCCTGATAGGGCTCATTGAAGTTTGGAACATAACCCGGAGGGTGAAAAGGCGATAAAAGTTCTAATCAGACAATCTGACGTACATTTTTCTGTAAATTAACTTCCTGATCAAAACCTTTAGAAATATCCTGTCTGCATCCAAACATAGCATATTCTCGACAATTACCTCATCAAAGCGTTCTCGAGTTCAGTGGAGGATAAATTAGTGTCCTTCATGTAGTTATAATGCTTGCATTGAAACTAAATACAGGGAAGGCGGTTTTCCTATACCAATTCACTCACGTTTGTAACCATCTTCAACAAACTTCAATACTGGTGGAACATTTGGAAACAAAGAATTTATCAGCGCGGGGTGAAGTGTTCGTTCGTTCCTAGCGCATACACGATGACCTGTTTTCTTTCGTTGCTGGCGTACGGGGTCGCTGATGCTAACACATGGGCTGCGTAGATCCTGATGTGAAAGGACATCCCTCGCCAACTCCTTTTGGGTTTCTTTTCCATCTGATAATCTTTGTGTCGGAAGGAATCTAGCGTGGTCCGGATCCTCAGCATTTTTTCTGGTGGGATGATCGCCTGTTGGAACCGCAGTTTGGATCAACTTTTCTATTTTCGTGACTGAATTTGGCGAGGCAGATCTGGTTGTCCCAGTTTTAGGTTCTTCAGAATCGATCTTCACAGGTGCTAGAGAAATTTGAAAGCGAGAGATACTGAGCACTGAGTGATGTGGCAATACTTACCTGTCTTGTTTTTGCTTTCATAATTCTGAAGGATTATGACCAACTTAAATGTTGGTTGGATCTGAATTGATATATCTAAACCACAACGTAGATTCCACCAGTATCAACATTGAAAAGACTTTCCTAACCCAGGTGACTAACACCTAGTTTTATGCAGGGGGTCAGAGGAGGCTTCGCAGCGTGTCGCTTTACTTTCAGCTTTACTATGCTTCATTCACACAAGTGCACAAGCTAAGACCACGCTTTCTAGCCAACGACCAGAGTCTGTATTTCATCGTATATTCAAAACCCGATCTTGGCTATTCTCCCGACATGATATACTTTCTCTATAGAGGACTTCACAGAAAAAAGCTTGTTTGAAGCAAATTTCACAATCTTTTCGGAAACGTTGTGTGTACCTTAAAACCACTGCATTCTTTTGCCATGTCTGATTCCAAGGTGACATTGGCGGGAATAATTGCTTTCATGGGCAGTTCATATAAACGATTAAGGATGTCTGCGAACTCTATTATGAAGAGGAAATGTAACGCCGTTATCAGACAGCGCTTGTCTAGTTTCGTAGAACTGGAAGTGATACAGTATCCATCGTTCAAAATGTGACCTGCTATAATAAAAGTTCTGAATTTGTGAACGATATTATATCTGGAAAACAAGAAACGGTAACTCACAACCTCCAACAAATTGACTCTGGTTGTCGCCTTGCACTGAGCACTTTTGCTTGGAAACACTTTGCTTAGGTTCGTCCAAGTTCTTAGGGTTCTTGCCAGGCACCACGTCTGTAGGCATAGGAAGGTCGCCTAAAAATTCGCCAGCTTCATTTACATTGACAGCATTTTTTCTGGCCGCTTCTTCTGCAGACTGGTCATCATCGACACTAACCCAACTACCTTCATTGTTCGGGGGTCCTGCTTCAGTATCCGACGAACATTCTCCGTGCTCTAGCACAGCAGTAATTGCAGTCTGTTCTTTGTCATTGCTAGGTATTATGAATTGCCGCTTGTCGACGAATTTTGATGGATTTTTACCGGCATCTTCATCAGAAGCGTTTCCGCTGTCGAACTCCAACTGTTTTGGTGGATTGCATGCCCGCTTCGGAGTCGCCTTAGCGAGTACATTATGACGGGTGGTCGTGTGTTCCTCCTTGAAAAGTGAACGTGTAAATGGGTGGCTGAAATACAGCTTACATTTTAATCTTTGAGGTCTAGTAAATTTAAGGTTGGACTGTAAAAATGCGACCTCACTGTTATATGAACATCCCGAAACCAAGTGATGCGTAAAATGTAATTATTTTGACAGCACTCATAGTAACAATACTAACATTAAGGTCACTGACGATGTTTGCTATGGTAAAAGAAAGAAAGGTTAAAGAAATACGACGAAAAAGTTGTGTAAAGACAGTGAAAACGATTAAATGAAGTGAAGTTGTAACCGGTTTAACGCAAAGTTGAGAGGCGATATTTCATGCCTGAGATTTGCTCAGCGGTAGGACATACTCAAACAGAGCCCTCTATCTGTTTTCTATTGTCAGTGAAACTGTTTTAGCTAAAATCACAGTAAAGCGGGGGTTCTTCAGGCACTGAATAATTGTTTCATCTCCGTCTGGAATCATCAACCTTGGGCATCTGTCATCTCAAAGAAGATTCCATTCCGCGACAGTACTGTCAGTAGTAGGGGTGTGTCAATGGTTAGGACCCGAACTCAATGACCTGACGGTTTGTCGTTCAGCTAGTGTTTTCTGGTCTTGGACAGCCTGACAGCGCCTCAGCCCTTGTACCTCCTTCTACACCAAAATGGAGTGTTGCCTCTGCAAAATAATATTTTATCATCATCATTATTATTGTCATTATTATAGTTGGGTTCAATACCGCTTGGCCAGAAGTACCTCATGAGTAGTGTACTTAATCCGTATTTCGACGGCGTACCGAGGTGACATCAATAAGTCAAACGCGCTTCAGTTCATTTGATCCGGTGTTGACCGGTTTCTGGACTAGTGGCTTCTCAGGATGAAGGTTGATACTACTTCATCATCGATTTCAAAAAGTAGTGAGAGATTTGCCACGGAATGTTTTCGCCTCTTACTATTATAAAACCCTATTAATGTTTTGAACAAGAAAACCACTCCGTCTGACATTCCTGTGCGTCTTGATTTTGTCATTCCTCTGCTAGATTCTGCGATAATTTCTCGTAGGAGTAATGATTTAGTTAGTCGAGACACCAAGTTGCTAAACTCATCCACGAACGTAGCTTGAAGTAGGAACTGTAAGGAATAATTAAACAATCCGCAAATTTAAATACAGTGGTTAAACTTCATCACAATAAACACAAAAGCAGAAGTTATGACCTATCTTCACCCGCTGTGATTCTTTAACGTTGACTTACTGTTACATTTACTGCTCCGCTTGCCGTAGAAGCCGGCGGGTCGGTCAAGAACACGTCCTGGTGAACACTAAAGACAGAAGTACGTAAGTCATAAGTTCGAATAAAGGTTGGATAACAGCACATTTAACTGTAAGCAACGGACCAGTTTATCGCGTCTTATTTTTCCTGTACACAAAGCAAACACTGTAAAATAATAAGCAGGTTTCCTATCTCCACCACAGTGACTGATTTTCGTTGAAAATATTTATACAACTCAGATTATTTGCACCGTCCTCTCCGTATATCATCATCACCTAAAACATGTATGCATTTTTAGTTGCATTTGCACACGTATATCTTCGTCCGTTTTTCGGCCTTATATGAGATCTATTGATTTGTCTCAGCGCCAAGACCGGTGGCTTCATGAAAATCACCACTGTGAACACTGATTTGAAGATTCCGGGTTTGATACCAAGGCTACCCGCAAATTATAGTGCTTTTTTTACCGTATATTGGCTCGCAACTATCGCACAGATCAAACAGAAAAACTGTTACAGTAGCCAAATTTTCTAGCACAGTGAGAATACTAAATTACCGTGGATGTCACATAAACAATAGAAGGATCATGACAAGACCTTAAGTAATCATCAAGAAGAGACAAAATTCTTTAACTATAGTGGAACCGCTTAGCTTGGTTCAAAAAAAATTTCTGCTCCGGAAAAGTATGTCTCACTACTCAAGAAATGTTAACCAGAAATAGCCAAAACATTAATTGATGTCTGAAGTAACCTTAGGTTGCCAAGACACACATTTTCTTCAATAATCTCTTTTCTGAGTAGCGCAAGTGTTTCGTGGAACCTTGTTTAATGAAAATCTTGTCCTGAAACATCTTTTCTAAAAGTTCCGTGAACTTTCTCTATTTTACACGACTAATTTTTATTTTTACCTGCTTGAACTAAGTGCAGAAAACATTTTGGAAAATAAAAACATGTTTTACCCAAGTAATTCACGTAGATCAGTGAACGGCTAATCATTAAGTTGATATCAAAAAGTAAAATTGGTGAAAATAATTATTGCACGCATTGTTGAGCCATAATTTCTTCGGAACAGACCACATGAGCATCCTGATTTTACACAGTTAATGTTCTTGTATAAAGTGGTCTTAATTTAGCATATTAGACGCTATTTATTTTCACTCAAATAACTAGAAAGTAGTAACGGCTAAATTACCATATGAAATGCTACAAGAAACATCCTTTAATGCGATAAAATTGAAGAAAATCGTAGGCGTACTGTCACAGATTGAAAGATTCGACCGGCATTGCAACAATGTAAGAAGGGTGAAACCAGCCAATCAGTAAAAGTGATTCCACTCTATATATTTCTTTGAAAACAGCTGTTTAATGGAGTCCATTTAAAAATGAAACTTTTTAATAATTAGAAGAGAAGCAACCAGTACGATGAACCCCTGGAATGTATACACGGAAACGGTACATCAAAAGTTTGTCAGTAGAGAAGAAAAACCTAAGTGGTCCGACAAAATCTTAATCTAGCCGGTCTTATGCGTGAAAGGAGCTCAGAAACCGCTATTGATTGACCCATCATGCATTGTTTATTTACAGAGCTTTCGTATTCCATAAAATAAGTAGCTTCCTTGTTCAACAATACTGTCGGCATTGACATTTTTTAGACAAAAGACACTACGGCGCATGTGAGTTTAAAATACTTTTTAACCAAAATACGACAAATTTATGTTTCAGAATTTGCTGATTCTGAGGCCGCTTTTGGAGTAATACATGGTAGCACGAGCTGGCAAGAAGCAAACCGTTGTAGATGCAACTGTAATCTACCATATTTGAACGAAAGTCATTGACGTCAATACGTCAAAATTTTTAATTTTCAGGAAAACAAATGGAGTAGCGCAGAAAACAAAATAATGAGCGAAACTTGTGAAGCTCTGGCAACTCAGACCTACCAAGACAATATACTTGATAATGTTATCCCTAACCATTCAGTTTTTTTTCAAATTTTCTAACTTTTGTAGTGAAGCTAGCTCTGATGAGGGTCCGCGGGATTTAGCTCAAGTTGTTTTTGTTTCAAGCGTGTTATTGAACTTTTGCGGTAAAAAATTGGTGGTGCAAATAGAAGCAACGTAAGCCAAAATTATGAGAAGTATGTTGTCAGTTGCATTGCTGATAGGTAAACAAGTCCAATATTTGCGCTTCACCATGATATGCAAGGCTCCTTAATAATATTGTTTAAATCCGTCGCAGCCCAAAAGAATGCAAATCCCTATCAGAGCCAAAAAATTAAGTGTTATCATGGAAGTGTTCAAGGAATATAATTGATTGATTGGTAGTAAACGTCTGGAACAGAACTGTAGGTGTTAACACAGTCAATGTTCCTTGTAGTTTTCGCTGCGCGAGCAGTCGGACCTAAGTTGTTCAAGCTTAATAAAGGCTTGTTTGCTTATATAAACTGCGCCGTCCGTTTAATCTCTTTGATTATACCCGCTTTGTACAGTGCAAATGTGTTTACGTGCGTTCTCGAATAATTCTGAAAAACCTTCAGCGGTTATTTTGTCTGGCGAAGATACACATTTGTCATTTAGCTGCGTTCATACTGGTTTATCATGTAAACCAGCTGTGAAATATTTTGATACTGCATTTTTGTTGAAATTTTGATGACAATCAGCGCCGATTTACAAGCGCCGGAAAACGTGCGCTTCAAGAACTAATTTTTTTCATAGCAAACAGTGCACTTTTTCTACAAGTTTTCAAGTACATCAAAATTACTTACTACGCATGTATGTTTAGTTCCTACCGTACTCAAAAAATGTGAATCAGAAAATTACCAAACACCGCAAAATGGCTCCTTCTACCCTTTGACGTCTTTCATCCTTTGCAGTACAATATAACAACTAAATTTTTGCCACAGCCATTTGATTATCCTATAATGCCATGCAAACTGTTCAAAATCAACTGCAGTATTGGCCTCCCTTATCAAATAAAGAAGATGTTTGACATGAAAGGGAGCATTTTTGAGGAAGATCTCTAGTTTTGTTCAAACAAAATGTCTTTTTTAAAAACATTACTGAGTTACCTTAGTGATAGTATTGGAGGAGAGCTGTCTGAGTTGTTTCAAGTCAACACTTCATACACTACAACTGGGTTTAAAACAAGCACTTAAAAATAATTTTGAATCTCATTGTAAAACGTCATCATTTGTTAGCCGCTTACGCTTGTACATCTCAACCGTAATAATGTAAACGAATAAAATCGGTTACTGCTTGCTTCCATGCCTTAAAAATCGACCACCTTCAAATCAGCATCTCAATTCGAAGCCCAAGAATCGACTTCATAAAGCTGATTTAAAGTTCGGGCTTTCATTAAATCTTCGCTTTTTCCTCTGTCTGATGACAATAACACATAGGCAGTGTTTTCTTGTTCCAATGGACTCACATTTCATAAACGTTACCATGCAGCTTAAGGTAGCTTTCAGGTTGAATGTAATTTGTCCAGAATAGTGGCTGAGTAGACCTCGTGATTTGTGCATTTCGAAACTCAGTCGTTTTTTTCACTGCATGTTCATCAGATAAGATATTTTCAGCTTCCTGCGAACGGTTCAGCAGACGAAAAGTTCGCTCCTGTAGTGGATTAACAACGTCTCTGTTGTCCACTGAGTGTTTTCTTAGCTTATCGAACATACATTCATTCGAACGAGGGACATCTTCATGGGAGGCTGATTTGTTATTGTAACCCACTTCATTAATAACTCTGTTATCCAAGCCATTACACAGTTTCCTATCGTTTGTATACTGAATGCCAAGTAGATTGCGGTTTTCATCCTTAGTTCGCCATAAATATGAAGTTTCGTATTGTTCGGGACCATGTCTTGTGACTTGTTTTGGATTTCGGATATATTGCAATGGGTATACCGTAGCCACAGATTCCTTGGAAATTTTTTCAGAACTGGATGTTTTTAAGCTGTGCATTCTGGTCACTACTTGTGCAGATAAGCTTTGTTCTTTGAACTTTGGAGGGAGCTTCAAACCCCTCAAAAGCTTCGAGGTGTTTGTTAGTGGATGCTTGCTTTCCATGCATTCCTCACTCGATTCATGCCTGTTTCCAAACGACCTGTTTTGCAACCCAATCAATGGCTTTGTCGAAAGCACCGAATCTGGTGGAGACGGTTCTTGTCTATTGACCTTTCCCGTTTGAAGATAAAAGTAGAAGTTCCTGAACTCTGAATTTTGACACGCCGAAGGTGGGGTGACTCCATATGTTGCTGATCTGTTGGTTCTTACTGCGGTGCTGCTTCTTGTCCTTGTCGTTAGTTTTCTCTGTTTATAATGAAGTACGTCATAAGCTGGACTTTGGAAACCTAATGGATTCCTAATGGTTGCCAGAGAAGCAGGTCGAAGTAGCTTCGCCAAATCCTGTCGTTCCTTCCTGATTCTTCCAAGGTTATTGCATTGGGTTGGTAATTCATATACATTGTTCTGCATAAATTTGGGCAGGGGGGACCTGACGTAGATGAATGGGTTTCTAATAGGCAAGTGAGAAGGCGAACGATTCGTTCGAAACTGATGGTCATTATCCCCTTTATTCTTAGGCGAAGGAGTTGTCATTTGCTGGATTCTTTTGACCCAGTGAGAGTCTTCAACTCCCTGACTTTGCATATATTTCCATCTGCCCTGAAAACATGTTCACCTCTCAATCCTCATATTTTGACGGCTCGATTATTATGTTGACTATGTTGATCACTTCAGGCAATAACCAGGAAAGGTCTTTACGGAATCTATTGGATGATGGTCTCCACGCCAAACCCTTGATTTTATTTTTACGCCGATATCAGTGTGGCTTTGTCGTTGGTTGAATAGTGCGTTAAAACAAACAACAACCCCAGTCCGACAAACAGGGTTTATTTTTCTCATGCTGTCCATAAAACATATAACTGTAAAAACAGAAGAAGTGTTTCATTCTACTCTACGGGTTAGTACAGGATTGTTGGGCCTTGTTCTTGCCTTTTCCACGACTTTATCACGTTTTCATGGATTCACGGATTGATGCACAAGATCGGTGCTTTCACCCAATTTTCCCGAGCCGGTTTTGTTCTTCTGGTTCAGCGGCTGTCGTGAAAAATGTGTATTACTGCTCCTTAGGTTCCCAGCACGGGGCGGTATGTTCGCCAGGCTGCTGGCTATTCGCACAATGGAATTGATTTCTCGAAATCTACGGCATCTTCAGGCTTGCCACTTCATAGTGTAGAAGAGAATGTCTAAGTGTGTATGTTCCTGTATTATTGAAAATCATCTACTATGATAATTTGTTTAAGTGAGTGAATGCTCACGGTCAATAAACACCACCGACTGAATACGTGGCCTGATGATGTACAATCGCGATATATATTGGTCGTTTTGAAGTTCACATATGTCTGGGAGGTGCATTCTCTTCTTCGTGAGGAGTGTTCATTTGGCCGTTGAAATCCTGAAATAAGAGGAAGATATAATTCAGGTTATCGATATATCACCATAAGGCCGGCGGCCAACAAACTGGTAGAGATACTTACCCCAAAATTACTCCAGCGACTAAGTTATCGTAGCAGTCTGTTCACACAATGCCATTTTCAGCGGTTATTTCGCATGCCTGTTTACTGCACCTCTCAAGAAATACGAGACTTACATGAAATGAATAGGACCTCATTAACAGACAAACTTTTCGGAGCCGATGTGTCACATGAAGTCATCTAAGTCTCTTTCATCTAACCAAACCCTGACCCAACTATGCGGCACCTACTCAGCATAGCCGGTCGACACTACCGGCGGTAGTTGTGTATATCCTTGGTGGTAAGAATCCTGCCGAATTCATCCGCCATAAACTACCGCACCTCACATGAGGGAGTTCCATATTTCAGAAGGGCCTTGCGGGTGCCCAACTCATCTTCGGTTAACCGTCGATTAACTGGAGGCCGGTCGTACAGAAACCTTGACAACTTGTGGTTGTGTCCAAGACAATAAGAGGTGACTGCCAGCTGGTTCCTTTGCCTCCGTAGACAAAACGGCACTGGTCAGCTGGTGCTTAACGTACTTTTTGTTAGTAAATACGCACCCCTTACTGGCTTCTTCGGATTTCCCGGCCTTCCGTTGGAAATCCCATTACTCATTCTACAGGGATCAAAGATCTCGGCCTCAGATACTCCTGTGCTTTTAGCTTTTCCCACCAGGTGCAATTTCAGGTAGCAGGAGCGCGCAGGCTCAGTTTTTTAATACTGCGCTCCTGCCACCTTCCAGACACGATGGTCACAATCTTTAAGCTATGCGTACGACCAATCGTGGAGTTCTGTCCCACGTTCTCCTCCCTCTACACCCAAAGTTGCAGACTCGCAATTGAAAGCGTCCAACGCTCATTTACGAAAAAACTCTTTCCTCGATCAAACCCCCTCTCTTACCGCTCCCGCTGTCAAATCCTAGGCCTTGAACCACTATGGCTTAGACGGTTAAAATTGAATCTAGCTCTCTTGCACCGTTTACTGCATAAGAACGCCTTTATAGCAGAGGCTAGACCAAGCATAAACTCACAACCTCGCTACAGGCTCCGAAACTCCTGCAATCTCTTAGTGTGTCCCCCAGCCCGCACAAACCTACGCCACTACTTCTTTCTAGTTTATTACGCTCGCATCTGGAACAGCCTTCCTGAGCAGCTGCGAAGCATCACGCATCACCATGCTTTTTCTCAGTCTGTAGACAAATTCCTTACCTGTGAAACTGCTGCCGTCTTACTTAATACTCAACTACCCTCTGACCTCCTCTACGAATCAGGTCCAGTACGCATATGAGTCAAGCGACGTTACAGTTAATAGGCAAGTAAAGGATCTTGTTATCATTTCTTCCCATCCTCTTGACCCGCTTTAAGCTAACCAAGGACTAAATGCCAACTTGATCTAAATATTCAGCGTTACTGGCCTGGTTGTTTTCTTTTTATCTTTTTCCCCGTACAAACTTACACCTCGTACTAGTCTAGTTCCTGCACCGGACTACTCTATAAACTCTGTCTAGCGTCTATTGTTCTCGTCCAAACTCTACTGGCAAAAACCAAATCAAAATTAGCTATTTCTTCCCCAAATCACTGCACGACTTAATCACCTACTAATTCTAATTATGCTGTGTTACTGGCCTGGTTGTTTTCTCCTACCCCGTCAACTTATGCTTCGTCCTAGTCGAGTCCTTACCCCGGATTACTCTACCAGCTCTGTCTAGTAACTGGTGCTTTCAGTCTAATTCTAAAAACCAAACCAAGGTCGATTTATTTCCTAATTTCATTATCAGAGCGCATCCTGCGCCTATATATATCCATTTGATAATTTGTTCCACTAAACACTCCCATGCACAATATCTCAGTACGCTTCTGCTCAACGTCGCAGCCCACGCCAACGCTCCGACGCCGGTTAGGCATGGTGCAATCGTCGTGAGTATCAAGCTTCCAGTCTCACCGACTCATTGACAACTGTCATTTCACCTCTCCTCCGCGACCTGCCTCTACCAGCGTCTGCATGCTGTTGCTTGTTCG